GTGTATGGATTCGTGCTGGATGTTGTGGTTTCTGCCGTGAGCAGGTTTCCTTTGGTTTTGTCGCCATCACTTTTCCGGGAGGCGAACTTTTATTCTTCTGCTCTTTCCTTTATAAGAACGCAACAATTTCTGCAGGTCATAATAAATGAAAGTGTTAATCATGACATTGAATTCACTGAAATTTGAATATTGCAAACCTTAATTTGCAACGTAACATGTGCAATCTTAACAACCGTCCCAATTTCACCATAAGATGTAGGGATATCAAATTTTGCTTCATCCTCCTCCATAGATTACAAGAACAACAAGTGTGAAAAAAGATGATGATGCAAATCCGGGCATAAGTAACTTTGTGCAAAACGTAAAACTGGTTTTGAAGGTGACCATTGTGATCACTTTAACAAGGCTTTTGCGCATGTCTCTGAGCGTTTTTAGGACCTTAAGGATATCTGAAAAAAAATTTGTATCATTCTCGATTTTAGAGCCTGGACGTTCACAAAGAGAAAAAATAATAATTGAATGTATGCGAATAATACTATCAATCATGTAAAAATGGAAAATGTATTTTTCATTTGCATACATTAACAAAATTATAAATATTTTGTTTTGATTTTGTATGGGACAATCTCTTATCTTATCATATATAATTAGCTAACATTATAACATCAATACATATTTATTATAACTATCGAATAAATATAAGAAATTAAAAATGTTATGCAGATTCATCCTGATGGTGAAGTTGATGTTGGTGGTGAAGACACCATGTAAATCAATACTAAGTGGTGATAATGATGACGATGATTGCGTTGTTACCCTGGTAACCGAAGTTCTCCCCAACATTGAGATCCTGCGAAATGAACTCAATTACATGATCATATTTCGGAACCAGATTAGTCTGACTACAAATTTTTTGAATTCTGAGTCATCATTTTCAGTAATTTAATGCAACACCAACTACTTTGATCAAGATACAACTCCTTGTTGTTACTCTAATAAGATTCTCTCCACTTTCTTCTTTGCATTTTCGTAAAATTTAAACTTCGACTTTTGTGCATAGATGTTAGCCAAAATTGAATTTGCATCGGCCAAATAAAAACATACTTCCCAAAATCAAATATTTTTTTAATATATATACAAAATCCTTAAAATGTCTGAAGTGAGAATAGCAAGAAAAAATTTAGAATTAATTCAAGAAAAGCAAGAATTAGTTAAAGAAAATGAAAAATTAATTAAAGAAAAGAATAAATTATCTAAAAAATTATCTGAAGTTATTAAAGAAAATGAAATCTTAAAAAAAAAATACTTGATGAAAAAATAAACAATATGACTTTAAGCCTACCGAAAAATGAAAATGACGTTGGTGATGATGATGATGATGATGATGATGAGATTATGAACGTTGATAATGATAATAATGATGCAGAATTTGATCAGATTATTGACATAGGACCGATTGAATCAATTACTCATAATTATTTGGCAAATTTTAAGTACTGGAGTAAAATAAAAACGAATGGTGCATGCAGTTATAAATTTGATAATGAAGTTAAGAAACTAAATAATGATGACGAATTATTGAAAGAGTTTATAACTGTTGCAACAAAGAAATTATCTTCGAAGGCACCATCTGATACAAGAGAAAAATGGGAAATTTTACTGAAATTTTCTTTTATTAAAACAAATATTGATGAATTTGATACATTAAATAGGAAATACGAAAGGCAATGTAAATTTATTAAGATTTGCATTCAAAAGTGGGAGATAAAGTATTCAAATTTAACTGTTTTCCTCCAACATTTTTCAATAAGAAGACTAATTACACGACATTAATAGATTGGGCAAATGGATTAAAAGAACTAAATATTAACTTGAGTAAAAATTGTGGAAAAACTTGTAATATTTGTACAGAAGATTATGACAATACAAATATACCAATAACTCTTGATTGCTCACATGAGCTCTGTGGAACATGCGCAGAAAAAGTAAATTATAAATGGTAATTATATTTATATATGTATATTATTATTATATACTTATTATTATATATTAATATTATTTTATTATTTAGTCCATTTTGTAGGGATGAAAGTTTAGTTTGATTTCAATATATTTCTCATTCTGTTTTTAATCTTATTCTTATTTCTTATTTCTTATTTCTTATTTCTTATTCTTCTCTCTTAATTAAAAATTTCTAAATCCTTTCATTTCTATTTTGTTTGATTGTTTTTATTTCTAATGATCAAATCCAAGCGAAGTTTAGTATCTAACATCGATTTCAATATATATACCATCCTTTATTTCTTTCTTATCCTAATTTTAGAATTTCTAGTATAATACTAACAATATTATTTAATCAACATTGGGTTCTAGTGCTAGTAATTTAATCTCCACTATAATTATTTATCCTTTTACTTTGTCTTTATTTTATTTCTTATAATGATGATAAATTCTATATACAATCTTTTGATTCTTGTCAAAGAAAATAAAGAACATTTTTTTATTTTTATTTTTATTTATTAAAGATTTATTTATTTAATTAAAGTGGGACGTTTTGTCACTCTACAATTAAAAAACGATTTATTATTAATTAATTTTCTTATGATTATTATATATTATTATTAATTTAAATTAATAAATTTTATTAGTGATTGTTTTATTTTTCTTCTATCAATATAATAATAATACCCTGTGTATGAAAGTTTAAAATTTACAAATAAATGCAGCCTTTTTTCAATGCTTAATAATTTTTTTTATTAAAAATGCCAAAAAATGAAGAATTGTCAGAATTTATCCGAGGAAAAATTTTAGGTCTTCATGAAGGTGGTAAGAGTGCAAGAGGTATCTCCAAGAAGCCAAAAATACCAAAAAGTACAGTTCAAGACACCATTTCTCGTTATAAAAATATAGAAAATGTATATCCCCTATTGCTAAGACTTATAATAATAACGTTGTTAGTCAACAATAATTATTATTATTCAGTTATAAGTATTAATGCGATGTTAATGTGAATATTTTCTCGTATATACACACCCTAGACAAAAGTTTTCGGACACCTGTTTTTACTAATTGCGCAAAACTACACATAATAACTATACATAAAATTTTTGTCATTTGCGGCCTAGGT